TGCCAAGGCACCTGGCTGAAATTTGATCAAGAAGTATTTTATACAAGTATTTTTCCTTTTCAGACTTTTTTTTTTAAGTTTTTTTTTTTTTTTTTTGCGGAACTAGGGATTGAACTCAGGCCCTTGTGCTTGCCAGAGAAGCACTTATTCTACTGAGCCAACTCCCCGGCCCCCTTTTTATTTTTTTAGCTGGGGTCTCCCTATGTAGTTTACTTTGAGCTCCCTATGTAACCCAGGCTGGCATCAGACTCACAGCAACCCTCCTGTCTCAGTCTCCTGAGTGCTGAGATTACAGCTGTGTGGCACCACGCCCAAACCCTTTGGCAGACTTCAAACTCCTCTGGGTATATAGTCAGGATTTCCCAGCTCCTCGGGGCCCCAGCACCTGGTCATTATTTGCTTTGCCCTGACTCCATTCTACTCCCTATAAAAGTTCCACACTATTTCTCAAAGGGGAGCATAATAAATTTACTTCAGTCTTAAGCGTCTTGCATTTCCAGTTCCAGGACAACTTAGTCTTGCTAACCTGGTAGGGCCAGTGTTGAGAAGCACGGTACTACCCGGCCTCCAGGCTTTTCCATCTGATCGCTGATGTCCTGGATGATTTGGAGAAGCTTCCACGTAACACCTGCCGTGTGCCCCCGGAAGTCCGTGTGTGGGAATCGTTTTGTGCAAAGTGGCAGTGTCGGAAGGTGGGGCTCAGGGAGGAGGGTAGGTCACGAAGCCTGCACTGGCGAGATTAACGTCATCCTAGTAGGACTCTGTCTCATGGGAGTGGGCTGCTGTGGTCCTGGGATTGAACCCAGGGCCTTCGCACGGGTTCAATTCCCCTGCCTTTTTTGATTTTTTTTTTTATTTTGAGACAGGTGTTCATAAGTCACTAAATTGCCTAGGCTGGGCTTGAACTGTCGACCCTCCAGCCTCAGCCTCCCAGAATTCTGGGATCACAGGTGTGACCGCAGCTCTGAACTGCAAGTGAGGGTGCTTATAAAGTGAGGCCCACCCTGTGCTTCACCTCTGGAGCCATTCTGCCCTTCCTCCTCCCTGCCCTATGATGCAGTGTGAAAACCCTTGCCAGAAGCTGACTCCTAGGCTCCCAAACTATCAGCCAAATAAACCTTTTTTTCTTTATAAATTACCCCATTCTCAGGTATTATGTTATAACAGCAGAAAAGGACAATATGTGATATATATATAAACATTTATATTATATATGCCACATATAATATATATAATTTTTTGTTTGTATTTTTGCAGTGTGAGGAATCGAACTCTGGCACCTGGTACACTGGGCATGTGCTGTACACGGAGCTACACAGTCAGCCCAAACCATACGGTTATGCAAACCTCTGAAGCAAGAATTATTCTCATCTCCACTGTACACATGAGGAAACTGAGGTCCACAGAGATTAAGTGACTCTCCGAAGAATATCATAGCCCAAAGTTCATGTTTATAAAAGGACTGTCTCCTATAGCTAGTTCTTCCTTAAAGTAGTAGGAGGGTTTTTTTTGTTTGTTTGTTTGTTTTGTTTTTTATTTTTTACGGGGGGTGGTTGTTCTGTTGAGAGAGGGTTTTGCTGTGTTGTCCAGGCTGAGCTCGAGTTCACAG